GTTTTATTTTATAAATCTTGTATTGTTTTAAGTATACTTCCAGAAAGTCCACGTTGGCTTATTTCGAAAGGACATTATAATCATGCAGAAAGAGTTCTTCGTCGAATAGCTAAAACAAATGGAAGTTTTTTTGATTCAATGGCATATGATGATTTAATCAATGAAGAAAAAAAAGTAACAAAAAAAAACCGAAAATTTTTTATGAAAACAAAGTCTATGAAAATTCTAGAGAGAAGCATTATATCCAAAGAAATCTCATGGTTTAAGAAGTTTATTTCAATCAAAAATTATGATTATCATTGCAATTAATATGTCATTTCAATGGTAAATTTATACTTAAAATTTTAGTTTTTTTTGTTTAATGATCTTTTGTATAAAATAGGTTTGTACAAAATCTTGTTTTCTATGGTGTTTCACAAAATACTGGTAAAACAAATAATTTAATAAACTTTTAATCAAAAGTTATTCTTTTAGGTGCATGGTTAACTGATCCATATATAGCATTTTTGGCAGGTGCTTTAGTAGAAATAGTTGCCTATTTTATTGTTCATCTTGTACTTAATCGATGGGGTCGTAAATTAGCCTATTGTACATTTGTACTCTTATTTGGATTTTTTTCATTCTTTGTTGTACCTATTCAAATGTTTACGCTAAAAAATAGTCAAGGTATTGAAAGATATTTATAATTGGAAAAACGAACAACTAAATTTTTGAGGTTTTTAGAACAATATATTCTTATGTTTATAATAAATGTTCTATTAAAATTTCTTGCATCTGGATCTTATGCTATTATATACATATATGCAAATGAATTATTTCCTACACAAGGACGAAATACAGGAATTGGACTGTGTTCAATGGTTGCACGTTTTGGAGCTATTATTGGAACATTATCAAATGATCTTTTAGTATGTAAATGACTTTTTTATTTGTTAATATTCAATTAATTTATTAAGGCTCGAGTATGGATTCATTTTCCAATTGTTGTCTTTGGTACAACATCTCTTATTGCTGTAGTTTTTGCAACAATATGTCCAGAAACAATGAATAAACCATTACCTGAAACAATTCATGATGTTGATCGAATGGGTCTTACTTGGTAAATTTTATTTTTTGATAATCAGAAAAAATAAATGACAAATTTTGTTATTATTATTTTTTCTTTTTTTTGAATTTATAGGCCATGTTGGAAACCAAAAACATTGATATGTGAAGATATGAATGGTATGGCTGATAGTGATGAACATGTATCATTAAAAAATCAACTCAAAGAAAATGATAGTTTTTAATCGTTATTTTTTTTTGTTTTACTATTTTTTATCGATATAACTTTTATGCTGGCTTTATGTCCTTGATAGTTTTGTAATAGTATATAAGAACATTATCAAAGTTAAATTCCTTTTCTTTTTCTTTTTTCTTTTTTTGTTATTCTAAACGTATGTTTTTTTTTCTAAAGGAATTTTTATAGATTGGTTAAGATTTGCTTTAATACAGGACATGAAATTGAGTTTTAAAAATGAAAATATTTAATAAAAATATATTTGGATTCATATAATAAGAATTTTTCATAGAACTCATCGTATGCTGCATGAATAGACTAATGTTAGAGAATTTTTTTGGAACGTTTATCTGAAAAATCCCAATAAAAAGGCACTATGATCAATATCGGTAATTCTTCTTAAAAGATGCCTTCAAAATGTTATTTCAACTATACTGATCGAATTAATCTTCCGCATGTAACATTTTATTACATGAAACTTTAATAATAAAAATTGATATGGAGGCTTCGGCATTCTTCATCACCTTTTTTACTTACTTTAGTATTAAATGAAAAAATCATTTTGAGCTTGCTTGAATATAGATGTAGGAAGTGAGTTTGGAATCTAGTTGAGATTGCAATTACTACTTTTGATTCTGCAAAAAAAGATATTTTTTATAAAGTTATAAGTCCATTTGTTTATTCAAAATTTAAAGTTTTTTTTTTTTTAGTTTATTTAATGACAAAGATATAAAATGCTTAGTATTTTTTTATGTGATAATAAATTAGTCATTTTTTTGATGATGGGAAGATGGGAATATTGATGATTGGTGAAATTTTATTATGAGTAACTTTCCTTTCTATGATGGGGATATGGGGACTTTAATGATTGGTTAAATTGTATTATGAATATATAATTTTTGATCTACAGTATCTGTACGCCCTGCTTTGATGACAATGGACTGATGTGGAGTGATTGTCTAAAAGAATCGAATGTTTCTCGAGCAAGCGATGAAAATGGATTGAGAGGTACTTCTTCAGAATATGCACATCCCTTCACCCCCATTCGTTGTCGTACTAGCGTATGTGTACACAGAATGTGTATTCTGAACAAGAACCGGTTGAGGCGAGATGACTGTCTAAAAGAAAGGAAATTTTCTAAGACATGTTGTAGCTTGTCTGATAAACATAGTATATTGTCTTCGTATAAAAGAACAGGTTTAACTTCTTTAAAATCACATAAAAGTTGATGATCAGTGATAAGGCGAAGCGTGAACGTTTGTTTGTATCGGTGAGAAAAACGACCGGAAACCTTTTCAGTAGATAGCTTGTTCTGAAGTACATTGATTATTTTTTTGCTTTGAACACAAGTGATAACAACTTTATTACGAAATTTAGGACTTAACGTATCAATATGTTTTTTAGCAAGTTCATCAAATTTCTCACATGCAAAATCATTGATAATAGGATGAGAATATATAGATTGTTGTAATGTCATTGTTGATATTGCAAAAGAAAATGTCGAAAGCTATTTAACACTCAATGAACTTTGTTCATGAAAATGAAAGAAATTGATAGTTAGATGATATAAAATAATCACGAACAGAGAATGAATTCTGCCGAGTAAGAATTGGATTTGATAGAAGCGTAAAAAAAACCAATTTTGCCTGTGACATACGTATAATTCTAGTTTTTGATGAAGAAAACGTATTCGTATAGGTAAAACCAGATAATGATCCTAAACCATAGAACTATGTATCAGAATTTGCACAACTGTTGGCCATGCTTTAGCTAGTATTGGATAGAAAACAATTTCATCGTCGCTAGGATAGATGTGGATATGTGTATACTGGGAAAGAAAATACACATTTCTACTCTACTCACACCCACACTCTCCTTTAGATGCCATTTTGACACATAGTCCGTACATTTACACAAATTTTTGATTTGTATCAAATACTCATATTCGAAGAAAATAACTAATCGAGCATAAATAAATAAATAAGAGTTTCGCGTCGGATATGGACTCCAACAGTTGAACTCGTCGCGTAAAGATCTAATCTACATCCACATCCGATCAACGAAATTAGTTTTTTTAGTAAGAATAGAAAAGCAAACCCATCAATCAAAACTTCTCGCTTTTGATAGTATTTAGTTGTAGAAGTTACACACAACAGAACTACAAGATAGTGTATAGCATATTTTAAGGACTTTGAGTGAAACTAGTCTGAAATTCCTTTCAGCGGGTTGTGAATTAGGATCGTTCAATAGATAATAAATCGTTAGAAATGCTTGATAGAGCAGCAATGCAAAGCATTTATACTTACGAGGAAACCACCCGAGGTGATACTTCACCTTTGATATGAGACCCAAGTCATTGCGTAGGACCTATTGAGACTAAATGGATTCTTTTCCTTGCGCTGCCATTTTAAAGTTATGGCTGTTCAATGGATTTTTTTATCTTTGGCATAGTATTTATAAAAAAACATCAGACAAAAAAATTTTTGCCTGAAACTCTACCGATAGACAGCTCTTGAAGTCATTCGAAAAAAATCATGATGTTCCACCTGTATGAATTTGGTATCTCGAGAAGCGACTATTTTTTTTGGCTGAAATTTTTAGAAGATTCAAATGACTTCAAGAGTTATCCATCAGTAAAGTTTCAGGTCAAAATTCATTTTTCCGATTTCTTTTTTAAATACCTTGTCAAAAGTAAAAAATCCAGTGTAACGGTCATAACTCTAACAGAGCAATGCAAGGAGAAGAATTCTTCTAGTTTCAACAAGTCCTACGTAATGACTAGGATCGAATTTCAAAGGCAAAGTATCACTTCAGGTGGTTTACTTGTTAGCGAACAGTCTGAAAAAATACTTCACTCTAAAATAATTTTCTGATAACCTATATAAATGTACAATTTGTCTCGATAGATACAGTTATGTAAATGATAGCGAATTAGTAAATCTCATAGGCTTTAGATTTGTTGCATCTCTAATTGTATATATTTGAATAATGTGCCATATAATTACTATAGAATTTGTAAATATTCATTTCATTATTTTTTTTTTTCGATAGTCTTCACTAGTTTTGTTTTTTCGTATTATTATGTCGACATTGATGTCAAACGAGAAAAATTTTTCAATTTCAATGATAGAATAGTAATTCCATTATGTGAATTACCTATTAAAAAATATTTATCATTCAATCTATCACAAATAAGTTTATATATATATATTTTATCTGTCCATTATTAACATTATTACTTTCAAAATAGAAGCTATTCGAAAATCATCATTTCAATTATATCGTTTTTATATTATAATTTAATTTTTGATTGCTATTACTTTATCCTTCCTTTGTATTATATATATTATAGTAAATAAAATGATACCTTTTATATAAAAATCTCTTATAATATTACATTTACAAAATGAAAATAATTTCATTTCTATAACAATTAATACATGTCTTATTCATGCACGTGAAAAAATAGCAATCTATATTCTTGCTATATTAAATTTATTTATATTTTTTTTATTAGTATAGAATGTTCAAAAATTATTTTCTTTTCTTAAATAACAATGATTATTACAGTATAAAAAATAGTGTAATTTGTTATTTTTTGATTTTTGAATAAAATTCCTTTTATTCAATGTGACATCTATTGATTCAGAAAGAGAATGGTTATTTTCTTTAAACTAATTGTGTAAGACAATTTCTTCTTATAGGGATAGTAGTGTTTGCAATAGAGAGTTATTCAATATTTGTAATATTGAATATTTCAAGCAAAAGTAGAATACTCAAAGTACTGTGTTTTACACTTTACTGGCAGAAAGAAAACGACGTATTATGATGGTACTCTACAAAGTAGAAAAAGCAGTTTGCTTATTTTTTTTTGGCAATATTATTGAAAAGTTGCTCATCTAATTTTTGTTTATATATTCTACTTACAAATTAAGTTATGAAATACGTTTTTTTTTCTTCTAGTCTTATCAAATTTCTCTTTTACTTGTTTTAGATTTCTGATCTTGTTTCCTATAAATACTTTCTTCATTAATTCTTTCGAATACATTAACATGTATGAAACAAAAGAACAATAATTACTTGCATTTTTTTTCCTTGTTTGTTTTTTATTACTAATATTACATATGATAGTACAAGAATCACTTCAAAGTATTTCTTAAGCCTAATCAGTAGAGACTCGCGAAGTCAGGTTTTTTTGTATTCCGATTTCGAAATTTTTCTCTCGAAAGCAAAACGATCTCTAATGTATTTTATTATTTAATTTTGAATTTCTTTTTTCATTTGTTGTGCAATGAAACAATAACTAGGAAGTATTCGACATGTACTATGCCCGAGCAATAGAGTCGATTTCGTACAGGACTCTATTAAGCAAATGTTAATTGATGATGATGAGAATTATTGTATACTGAAATATTTTTTGATTCATAGTATTATGTTTTTATGAGGTTGATCTTTCGAATGTTATAGCCGAAAGGTGACCGTTTCTTTTTTTTTTGTCCTGAAATTCATTCTTAATATATGTAGTGAGTGCTGTCTTTCACTTTTTTTTGTTTGTTAATATGTAAAATAAAGTTATTGTAGTATCAAATAGTAAAAGTTCATTAGAGATAGTTATTATTTAGACTCCGACAAATTTTTCCAGTAAATCCGATTTCGTCAGAGTTGAAATCGAGTTTCGAAGTTCACCCGCAGGTCTCTACCAGCCAGATGAATATGTGTACATTTGTGTTATTATCTATATATGTTATTTTCCATATTGGTTTTTATTTTTGTATATTGGAACGTATTTTTTATAACAAGATGCGAATAGTAATAACTTTGTCTTTATTGATCAATTCTATGCTATAGTATATTGAGATGCTCTATGTCATATTTCTATTGAAATTTCAATTGATCTCTCAAGCAGAACTGGAATCTACAGAATATCTACTACTTCAGATGTACACGTTCCCAAGCAGTGATCCCACGAATTTTAGAAATTTTTTTTCGTTTTTCTCTAGCTGAGTTCCA